CTGAGCTCAGTGCTAACATCGCTTGCGTGCACCGTGATGTTCGCCATAGCCTTATAGATGTGTCTAATATTCCGCAAAACGATGTACCCATCCTTCCATTCCGCCACAAAGTCCACGAGGTTGGAGAGTCCTGATGCAACAACAGGATCTCCGAGACGGCCATGGGTTTCTATTACATGCAATTGGTCATCGAACTGGTCACTGGCAGCGACACGATCAGCGGCTTTCGGGCAGTTCCAAGGGCCTCTGAGATAGCTAAAACACTCTCGACATGGTCTTCCGGAGTGGCCAAGACGGAGAAGAGAACTTAAGACCACGACGGGGCGACGAAGCAGATCAAGGGTCTCAAGAAGATATCGGTAAAAACAGATTCGGTCTGGTCTAAAATGTAAAATGTGGATAGCTCAACTGCTGTTAAGCACGCAGTTAAATGCAGCGAATTCCCGAGTGCTCTGCTGATGGTCTTACGCTTCCTGTAAACAGGGATAAATGTGCATCACCAAACAAAAAAGAGATGTCATGAGCTTACAACGGCAAAGAAAGTACTGAATAGGTCGCAATGTCAATTCACCGACTCCCGCCCAGATAAGCTTGCAAATCCCTTTGTTTCCTGGGGATAGTTCGAAACACGATCTCCGTGTATTTATCTGTTTCGGTAGCTGAGTTTTTTTAAATTTGTTCAAATGCTTTGAAAATTTCATGGTACTTTCTGTCCTACTTCACGGGATTGTCGGAATCTTCGTCTAGACCATATTGGCTGTCATTCGGGTTCAGACGCCAGATGACGTGTTCTTCGTTGAACACACATTCTTGAGGACTCTATTCATTTGCTTAACACGCGTCCGGGTGGCCAGTTAGACACCCTTCGCTCGGGTAGGGGTCAATTTGTTTCGATACCCCCCTAATGCCCCCGAGATCTCAGAAATTAAGAAAGCTAGAAACGCCGAACTCACAGGATACTTTGACCTGTACGTAAGCTCACCTGGGTCAAATTTTGTGGTACCTAGGTTATGAACTTCGGGTCAAATAAGGTCAAACAAGGTCAATTTCCAAGTTGGTCTTCAAAGGGCCCCCAGAACCTAGATAACTGCTCTAAGCACAGTGTCGCATACTCATTTCAAGTCAGTGACCTCTTTTAACGTTTTGAAGGTCGTGGTGGCCAAAACCATACAAGACCGCATTGAGTAAGTCCATGGAAAGTGTACAATGTGATTCCTGTTATCAATAAATTTCAAATGGGCGCCAGGAACTGCCCCATACAGCAAGTCCTGGAGTAATAACACAGGTTGGTTTTGACCTTGGTCTAACCTTCATACCTGACCCTAGGCCAATGTAATTTGTTCATCCAATGTTTGTGGTGCCTGAGAAAGTGTCTCCGAAATGCATGGCTCCGTCTAACACTCCGTCGTTGGATTAGATTGAACGATTCCCTAGAAATTGACTTCGCAGGAACCATGGCCTTTGACTTTGACGTGCCATAGGTCAGTGACCTTAACAGGTACATCCAAATTGTTGGTGCCAGACGATCCGTTATTCAATTGTCTACAGCTAAGCAAAATTTGGCGCGGCTTCGCCGCGTCATTTGGAATCCATTTTGGAAACAACCTTGGGGGAACAATTTGCCTCCCCCCACCCGAGCGCATTAATATTATGGATCATTATACTCGTAGAACGCTTGATAAGCGCAATGACATAGAGCTCAATATGTTGACAACCACCATGCAGCATGATTGTGAACGTGGAGGTGCGGGTGCTGGTGCGGGTGCGGGGTGTGTGTGCCCTTGAGCATGCGTGTGTGCGTGTGCATGCGCATGTGCGCGTCCGCGTGTGCATGCGTATGCATGAGCGTGTCCGCGTGTGCATGCGTATGCGTGAGCGTGTGTGTGTGTGTGTGTGTGTGTGTGTGTGTGTGTGTGTGTGTGTGTGGTGTGTGTGTGTGTGTGTGTGTGTGTGTGTGTGTGTGTGTGTGTGTGTGCGCGCGCCGCGCGCGCGCGCGCGCGTTTGCGCGCGTGTGTATGCGTGCGTGTGTATTTTCGTAGTTTGTAACATATCAAAGAGTTCAGAATTCCAACATTCTTCCACCTCGACCTGGTTTGTTTTTCAAAGGTCATTTGGACCAACGTTCCATCACAAAATCTGGTGCAGTTTGCGCGAGCTATCCGATACCGTTCGCATCTCAATCCTAGATTGTCCTAGTTTCGAGATAACGTGGTGCGCACTGAGACCGACGTCGTTCGGAGACGTGAGAAAAATGTCGTCCGTCCAATAAGGGCTGACAGGGGACGACAGACGACAAAGCAGCATACAATGTTTTCTTGACTATTATGCACTTTTTGCGTGTCGACAAAGCACAACTTTAATGACCTGACGACCAAACGCGGAAACTGAAGTACACGGGGACCATGGCCAGTGGGTCATCAGCCACAGCCGCAGTATTGGACCATGCTCCGAGTGCTGGTGGTGTGCACGCTATATAGACGCTATACCAGGAGTCTCTTTTCACAGAATGCGATGAGTCTGGGGTGGGGCGGGGGTGGGAGGAGCGCTGAGCAGGTTAAAACGGCTACATCTTTTGTGGGGCTAGAGTCTTCTTCCCAACTGAATAGGAGGAGCCACAACCCTGCACTGTAACTCATTTACAGCCCATAGCGCCATGGTGGCCGGTAACAGTGTGTACTGCTCCCTTCCCATTTTACAACCCCAACAACGTCCTAGGCTCGCGTGTCAAAATTGTGGCGTATGCCTGCTTTTCAGACAACACAGCAAGGCATAAAGCATTTTATCGCCTTCTTAGCATTTTATGTTACACCGCTCTGCATTTCCCCGGTCGGCTCATGTATTTTCAATTTTGACATGTTGACATAAGAAATCAATCATTAAGTCATCGCCTATCGATGTGCGTCAGTCACATCAAAAATGGCTTCAAGACGTGCAGCTGTGTGTGACAAAAACGAAATGATCAATTCCAACTTTTGCCATCCTCTGGCTTTGCTATTGGGCATTCGGGACATTTGTCTGTTGGAGAATGTGGACTTCATCAAAAGGAGTCGAACGCAGGTTTTTTTTTGCATTCAGCCACTACTTTCTGAGATTTCGGGAGGGGCAAATCCCCTCCCCCACCGCATCCCCTCTGCCCAAAAATAGGTTAACGGGTAGCTTGCCCGAATAGGCCTAGGACGCAATTGCGCCCACGGTGTGCGTATTGTATGCGTGCACATGTGCTTGTGCTTGCGAAGACTAGTTAGAGGTGGACTTGCTATGATGCATGGAGGTTCTACGCTGTCCATCCTCATGTCAACGATCTGTACGCACGAATGCGCTCGCAGGAACTACAGGACACAAGACGTTCACAATCGTGCGCTCGCGGGAGCTACGGGACACAAGACGTTCACGCTCGTGCGCTCGCAGGAGCTACAGGACGCATGACGTTCACGATCGTGCGCTCGCGGGGGCTGCGGGACACAAGAAGTTCACGATCGTGCGCTCGCGGGAGCTACAGGACACAAGACGTTCACGATCGTGCGGCATGCGCATCAGCTGGCTGATCCCGTTGTCTGCAGGGTTCTCCATCCTGGTGACAGCCTACAGCATGATAGAAATCCGTCTCCTGCGCCTTCTCAGTGTGGGTCAGTCAGTGCCCTTGGACGCGATGAACCTACTGCTGGGTCCAGCCCTTACACCGTGGCCAAGATTCCAAGAACCGGTTCAATGCAGGTGTGTCAAAAGAAGCCGACGTTACTCGCAGCTGACAACCCCCTCACTCTAACTCCGTTGCCGTTCTGGGCACTGCGCATTGAGCCTTTTGAAGTGTAAACACCACCGGGCTTACGCATGAGGAGCCTATAGAGGGCTGCCAACAATGGGGTTGTTTTTGTCGTTCTGCTGCCGTGAATGCGTGGTAACCTCGTCCGGTCACTTG